CCTCCGAGTGGACCACATGCCCTGAACCTGTACGAAGGCGCCAACCTGGAACTCGCGGACAGTACCAGCATCAGTGCTTACCGATTAAGCTAAGGTACTACTTTACGACGGGAAATTAAATCTCTTATAGTGAATAATTGAACTCATACGTTAAAAACCAAAAAGACACCAGCGGGATTCGAACCCGGGACCCCGCTAACCGTGGACGACGAATCGTAACCACTCGGCCATTTCGTTACCTTAGAATTTTCCTTAAACTGAGAAAAGTTGTCTTTATAGGTGAGCAAACGCGCCAGGAAGATTACTGGGTCCATTTGCTTTACCTTAATGGGTAAAAACAAGTCGATATAATGAGCCCAGTGTGTTTGGTTTGTTAGGAAGCTGCATAACACAGCCTAATGTGCAAAACAGTCGTGTGCTAGGCGGATCATTACGCAACAATGAACACCGCAATTGTGTATTTTCAAAAGGCAGACGCGTAGATCTCTACTCTTTGTATCTGGGCACATAATAGATTCCCACCTCCCTCTTCAGCTATTTTGACTTTCTTAAAAAGAAAAATAGAGACTGTCCGCGAATCTCCGGGAGTTGAAATAAGGATCGTCCCCTCGATAGACCTCTGACTTTTTTAACAGCTGTTTTTGCGGAAACTTTACATCTGGATTTTTTAGAAGCATCTGTTTTTGCCCAATTTTAGTAAAATATGCTCCAAATTTTGCTAAAAAAGCAAGGTTAAACCCTTACCATCTTAGATTTTTCATACAAATCTGATTTTGCCAAATGTTACTAAATATACAAGGTATACAATTTAAAAATTTTCATAAACATTTCTTTTTGCCCAATTTTGCTAAAAATACAAGGTTAAGCCCTAACAATCTGCAATTTTCCAGAATCATCTGATTGTGTCCTATTTTGCAAAAGAAAAGCAAGGTTAACCCCTAACAATTTGAATTTTTTTCATGAACATCTAATTTTCCCCAATCTTATTCAAAAAGCAAGGTTAACCCCTTACAATCTGCAATTTTCCAGAAACATTTGATTTTTTCCGATTTTCGCTTTAAAATAAATGCGAGGTTAACCCCTTTCAATTTGAAATTTTTCGTAACATCTAACTTTGCAAAATTTCACTAAAAAGCAAGGTTGGGCCAAAAAAAAAGTCTCCGGTTTCTGGTGTGGAGCTTGCCCAAAAAGTGGTGCGGCGACGCGGCTTGATTTTTTGTTTTTTTACCTGTTTTTTTTTGCTTCAAATGTCAACTGATGACTGCAAATGGTGCCCGACTAAACTTAGTGCAAATATTATGGGAGACCAGAGAGGCCACATAAAGATTATTCTCGATCATAACCCCATCTAAAAACACGTTAAAATTTTGCAGCAGCAGGATTCCAGTCAAACCAGTGAGTTTGGCGGTTTTGAAACATCATCGTTCATTGAAAATAAAAACTTTTTCATTTTCCGACGCGCATGGCTACGGCGACGCGCGCATACCAGAATCCGGAGACTTTTTTGGGGCCTTAATCCCTTACATCTGAAATTTTTCAGAAACATCTGATATTGCCCAATTTCGCTAAAATATGCAATGTTCACCCCTTACAATTTGAAATGTTTCATAAACATCTAACCCCATAAAATCTGCAATTTTCCAGAAACATCTGATTTTTCCCGATTTTGCTAAAAAATGCAAGGTTAACCCCTTACAATTTGATTTTTTTTTTCATAAACATCTAATTTTGCCCAATTTTACATCAACTTATGCTAACAAATTATCACTTATCAGGTAACTGGATCATTAAACGGGACAGGTGCACATCGGCCTTGGAGCTCAGACCATGTTTCATGCACTCCTCAATGCATAGATGATGCACATAACACTATGGGTAGTACAGGCACAGCTGGGGGTACTGCCCAAACAATGATGAATACATTACGTATGCTTAAAGAATTACCCACAATTCCGGTTTTTACCGTTTAGGTCTGGCTCTAAACCTTTACGAGATCCCTTGACGTCTCATACACTGACTTTAGGCAAAATAGTCAGACTTTCGCGGTCTAGTAACCAGACTTTGACTCTTAAAGAAACATCGAATGAAAAGGGAAATATCAAATGCATATTGCAAAAGATCGAATGCAAACATACAGATGAAACATCGAATACAAATAGCTCGAAATGTCAAACATATGTGTGAAACATTGCTCACATATTTGAGAATATCGCAAATATATTGTAGAACAACACACACAATTGTATCGAAAAACATCGCACATTTAATGCAAAAAATCGAACATAATATTGAAAACATCGCACATATATTATATCGTCAAAAACATCGCACATATAAATTGAAAATCGCATATAAATGTAAAACATCGCACACATATATTGAACATCGCACATATATTGTAAAACATCGCACAAATATATTAAACATCGCGCAAATAATGAAAAACATCGCACACTTATATTGAACATCGCACATAAATGTAAAAGATAAGAAACACATATTGAACATCCAACATATATATTGCAAAATATTGAATATTGCAACGTTTGACACGCCATAATCGGCTGACTGATAAGGTTTACGTACAAAACCCCAAGCCAACGAGGTTTTTGTATAGAAAGCTGCCGGACCACATTTTGCGAGAGTGTGTCACTGATCTCTATATAAAGACTGGATAGCTAATAAAGAGCCGCACAATGTACGAATTTGACGCCATATTGGTGAGACCGGCTGGTGATCTACAAAGGACAAGTTGCCGTCTTTATAGACAGCATGATTTCTTTTGTAACGTCGCGGTTCACTTGACTTATATTTTGGCCACCACCACTGACCAACTGACCAAGGTTTTATAACTGGAATTTTTCTAACGTCGTGGTTAGTTTTATAATGCCGCAAATCACTTTTTCGGCGTTTTTGAAATAATTAATCACTACGGAAATGTGTCCCTTTTAGAACATCATAATATGTGTACGTGACCAAAATGCGCGTCAACTGTTGATACAACGCGCGCGTATTTACGCGTAGAACGTTCGTGTTATACGCGGCCATCTTTGTGAGACCGGGGGCGAATTGGTCAATATGCAAAGTCTACTGTGTGAATGTTGTATGCATATCCGCTATCCAGTCTTTATATAGAGATCAGTGGAGTGTGTCTGTAATGATTCCAGGGGTTACGATCGCGCAAGGCATGATGGGAAACAACATGGCGCTGCAAGATCGTACCCACGGGGCACGAGGCTGTCTAGCTAGCTGATTGGGTCCAACTGATTTGCATAAAAATAGTGGCCACGTGAGGTCGCTGTTTGCGCTGTATTTTTAATTCACTGCATGCATAGACATATGACTGCATATGCATAGCGCTAGCGAAGATATCGTTTACCGCGCTACGGCCGGTGTGGCAGGTAATTCTGTCCCCCCCCCCCCCCCCCCCCCTGGTAAATGTGTCCCCCCAGACAGATCTACCGGGTCGTGACCCGGTAAATCTGTCCGGGGGGACACTTTTACCTAGGTAAACCTGTCCCCCTCTAGGTAAATATGTCCCCCTGCACGACGTTAAATGTGTCCCCCCCCCCCCCCCCCTGGTACAGTGTCCCCGTGCAACGTCACAAGTCTAGCACCGGGAATGGTGCTTACGTCATCAAAGCACAACTCCCGTTTTGATGACGACTTCGGGAGCGAACGATTTGCATGGTGGGCGTGCGCGCAAGTGTACCGCACCTACGGGCCGCGCCAGGGCCGCGGCCGGGGACGGGGACAACAGTGCACCAGCAGCAGGCCTGCGGCGCGGTGACCCGTGTCGCGTATAATTTTGCCAATTCTCCTCATATTGAAGTCCGCCACGACAGTCACACGCATATCGGCGGCTGATGCGCGAGGGCGTGCTAGCGATAGGTTGAGTATTACTACGCGTGCCTTCTTGCAGAAACATAGATCGGTTGATTAACATCTAAACGTTAATTTCATTTTGATAATTATTGATGAAGGGTGGAAAAATCTAAAAATGTATACCCTGTGCGCTGAATTCATTATAATAACATCAATATAACAACTTATGCGTGCAAAACCAGGGGGGACAGAATTAACTGGAGGGGACAGAATTACCTGGAGGGGGACAGAATAAACGGGACAGGGGGGACACTTTTATCTAGGTAATTCTGTCCCCCCGGACACTTTTACCGGGGGACAGAATTACCGTCCACACCGGATGAATAACAACTAGCGCCTTGGCCAAGGCTAGGGTGACCGTAACGTCATGGCAAAATTCTGCTAAATGCGCTTCAAAAATCTGTCAGATTTATCAAAAATCTGCCAAATTTCCGCGAAATACACTAAAAACCTTTAAAATCACATGCAGATTTGTAGTACTGCCTTAATTAAGGTTCAAATTACATTATAAACAATCTATAGTCAAGATGTTATGAAATTATTGGGTAAATTTCAGGCAAAACGCGGTTGCGCGGCGTGAAGTCGGATTCCCAGTAAACCTCAGCGCCTAGACCAGCCAACCTGTTCCATTATGCAAGGATTTGTTTGAAAAGATTGAAGATTTTTTAAACAAAGGTACTATTTTTTTTTTCAAATTTGCTTGTTTTCTGTTAATAATAACCATTATTTTTTTGCAGAAATCTGCCAGAAATCTGCCAAAAAATCCATTCTGTCAAATTTTCTGTCAAACTCGTTTTTTAACAAAAATCTGTCAAAGTTAGCCGAAAATCGGCTAAAACGGTCACCCTAATAAGCGCCCTCTCTGTTCACGTACGTACGGTGTCACATGAAAATCCAACTCCTATGAAAATCGGACCCCTATTTCCCTATTATTGGTTGATCCCTCCGCACGTGACAGTCACTCTCCCGAAACGATCCTAAAAATAGCTTAGTATTGTACTCAAGCGTGCGCAGTACTACCAATGAGTCCACATTTCATGGAGTCGGTTATTCACGCTACACCGGCACGACAAGACTTTCGCTCGTAGACTCGACCATTGATCTCCATGTCTGTGTATATGGAGATCAATGGACTCGACTCACTGGCAAAAACCCGAAAACCAGTCTAATCGCTGCTTGAGTCTGAAGCCCAGTGAACCTTAGTGATATTATTACACGATTGAAATTGGGGATCAATCTAAATGGACATTGATCGTCTGCTTCGCTTGGAAACAACAAACAACTTGCATGATTGAGTTGCAGATGTGTGTGACGGTGACCATGGAGGAAGGTTTGGGCTTTATTTTTTGCGGTTTATCGTGATCAAGATGATGGAAATGAACCGTGGCAGTTGCAGGTAGGGCTAATCCCTCTCATCTGGGTCCGGCTCGAATTTCTTTTGGAAAGAATGCACTATCCAGACGCCACTTCTAAGTTCTATGATCATGTTCAACATCAGACTGGGACCGTGAGTGCATAAAAACGTGCAAAATTACTACTGACGTTTTTTTACTCACCATTAGGCTAATTAATGCCCACACAACACATACATCAAAATGATAAAGTTGCAAGCATGTCATCTGCGAAATTTGAGACCTTAAATCCAATTTTAAGGCAAGTTTTTGGCAGTTCAAAAACCATCCACGTCAATCTCCATGCTCTGGAAATGGGTGTGTGATTCCCAATGTATTCTGGGTAGGTGTAGGAAGTGCCCTGCAGCTGACTTGTTTTTTTAATTGATAGCCAAATGAACACAGCGCCCTCTGTTAAAAAATGAAACATTCTACATTCACTCAGATCAACAAGAGGGCGCTGCTTTATCTACAAGATGAAAATGTTCTAGCTAGGGAGTTTTTTTGCACAATGCATTGCAGTACACATCAACGTGATGTCTCACGTTTAGATTTCGATAACTCTCTGCAAAATTAGAATTAAAAGCTGAATTTTTGGTGATGCAATGCTCACAACAGCAACTTTGCGAGGCAGAAGTTTCGGGGATTATTGAGGAAACTGTAGTGAGTAAGAAGCTTGCAAATTTGATTCACACTGGTTTTATTATGCAGCACAAACTTTTGCATGATATGGATACCTTAAGTTTTGGGACTCTCATACACAGTATTGAGAGTCCCAAATTTTCGGACTAGTTCAACATGTTCAATGTTGTGTAGCCCCACTAGTGTGGCCGTCGGTATGCTGCGCTGAACCCAAGGCCACACACCGTGGTCCGCGCACTACTGAGGACGTTTTCATAAAATTTGCAGGGAATTTCTTACATATGGTTGTATTCTACGATGTCCCAACTATCACTTCTGGGATGGTGTAATGATGTTCAATTTTCCGAGATATTCTTTAATCTTTCTGGAGCCCATGCACTCGTGAAACGTCTGGTGATGGCAGCCATTTTGAATGTGACAAGAGATGACCTCAAGCTGTGACGTCGCGTTTATGCAAATTGCTTGTCGAGCGAGGGCGCGAGTTGCAAATGCGACGGCTGTTTCCTGTGTCGCGCGCGTCGTCCAAGCCGTCGACATCGATGCCCACGCAGTGCATGCGCAGGGTATTATTTTAATTTTTATTTGGAACAGGAAACAGCCGTCGCATTTGCAACTCGCGCCCTCGCTCGACAAGCAATTTGCATAAACGCAACGTCACAGCTTGAGGTCATCTCTTGTCACATTCAAAATGGCTGCCATCACCAGACGTTTCACGAGTGCATATGAGCTCCAGAAAGATTCAAGAATATCTCGGAAAATTGAACATCATTACACCTAAGCATCCCAGAAGTGATAGATGGGACATCATAGAATACAACCATATGTAAGAAACTGCCTGTAAATTTTAGGAAAACTTCGTCCTCAGTAGTGCGCGGTACCACGGGGTGTGGCCAGAGGTTCAGCGCAGCATACCGCGGCCACACTAGTGGGGCTAAATGTTGTGTACAAAACTGAAAGACGTAGGCGTAAGGGAAAGATTTCCATAGGGGGCCTACTTGGACATCACTTGTCACCCTGTGTACTACTGGTGCACAAACAACCACAAAAAAAGTATGAGACTGGTCTGACATGTTTGAAAAACTCCAACAAGTCCAAGTATTTTCTCAGTACCGTAAGTGCTTCAAAAGTTCAATATTTCCCTGCTAAATTTGACTTTTGAGGACATGTTATTGTTAATTGTTATAATTATATACAGTGATATACGGTTTGTTTATAATTCTCTGGACTTTGATGTGTTCGTAATGCCAGTTGGAGACCATCCACCACTTATATAATACATGTACATAAGACTTTATCCAAGAACTTCCACTCAAGTTCCAGTGGCATACTGGTAGGATCTATCACTACAAAGTACAAGTACAAAGAAATTCAAGGGTAAATGGAGCCCATACGAACGTGTACTGTAGAATTGTTTTGAATGTCCAGAGATATGAGCCCCTCTGTTGCTATGTACATGTAGCCACGTTCACTGGTCTAGAGAAACTCTCAGTCCTACAAATAGGGCTGTACATGGCTCTCTTTTGTATTGGGTCTTTATCTGTAATGGCGACAGAGTAAGACCAAATACAAGAGAGAGCCATCATATTTATAGGGCTAGAGAACCTCCAGCTCCAGTGCTCATCGGTAATTCGATGTTGAATTTCCGATGAGCAAGTGGTATGCCCTATAACTTTATAACTTAAGACCATTTAAACTAAATTTAAAGGTTTTTGTTTAATACTAATATATACAAAACTCAGTCGGGAGTAGTCCGAGTAACTGGGACCAAACTTATCGCCTTTTTAACATTCGGACATGGTCTGGCGATAGTAACTATCGCCAGACCATGTCCGAATGTTAAAAAGGCGATAAGTTTGGTCCAAGTTACTCGGACTAAGTCGGGAGGGGAATTCATAATTTTTATTTTACAAATTCCACTTCTTCCCATCAAAAGTGACTCGAGGGGGCTGAAGTCTGATAGTAAATCAATGTAAACCAAAAAGAGGACACAACAAACATGAAAACTACAAGATACTAAATACCAGTCAGCTGTTTGACAGCCTATGATTTGTGTCTAGAATGTAATGGACCTCACATCACAGTTTTAAAACTTAATGGACATCAAAACTTCTTACGCAGGATTTTAATGGAGACAAAAAATTTTTGTCTTTGGTTGGTCGTACTACTACTTTGCCTACATGAAGGTAGCCTGTAATTTATAGGTGAAAGTTGCAGTGAGTTCATCAAACAAATTACGGTAATATTTTCAGGGTCACAGGTCACGTACACTTGACCTTTTGATTTTCTCTGCCCTGGTTTTAATCAGGTAGCCTAAGTATCTTCTACAGTAAATTTATCAAGAGAAACTATAGTTCTTGAGTTTGATTTCCTCAAAATCATCTTTTCCCCACATACATGTATCACCACTGTGTGGCTCCCAATATGGAGGAAGTCCAGTATTCGAGTAGGGGTGTGCATGTACGGCTAGTACAAAAATGGGGTACCCAATTGAACAAAACAAAACACAGGTGCAAAGGTACCTATTAAAGAAACCCAACCCCAAAATTCAAATCTCCGAAGCTGCTCTTCTGTTTTTTTCATAAAGGTCTGCACAATAATACTGCATATCGGTACGACAATGCAGCAAAATACAAGTATCCAAGTGAAACTTTCTGCGAGAGCCATAAATGTAAATTATGTTAAAATTGTTTTTCCATGTAGCCTAGTTTTGATTTTGAAAATTCCCCACAAATGACATTTACAACCTTTTTTCATTGTCTGAAAAGTTAATAAGTTGTTAGTAAAGTTGGTTACAGACCCGTACCCTATCCCATAATCTGGATCCAATTCCTGACATCAATGGTTGGGTACTCAGGTACCTGGTTCCGATGCACAGCCCAATATTTGAGCCACATTAAATGGGGCTTGTTTAGGCTGAACACGAAACCACCACGTCGCTTACACTGAGCTAAGTAAATTGTATAAGAACTTAAGAGAACTTTTGTCAAAACTTTAATGCAAGTACATGTCGCCAGTAATTAATTTTTTTGTGTTTATGTTTTTCAGAATCAATTTTGACTCAACAAATGGCTGGGATTGAACAAGTGTGTCTGTTCATGGAGGAAGGAATAGGTTGCACACATGTCTAGCTGGAGACCTACACTGTAAACTTTAAACTGCTCTGGCATTGCTGATTCTTTGTGTTTAGCACATGTTTTGGGGATATTTTCAAAATGAAAACGAAACACAAGAAATCAAGGAACAAATCCAAACTACCAAAGAGCAAAGTTTTGATCCGCAACTATGAGGAAACCCCTCAAAAGTACCGTTCCAAGATGGATCCTCTGGACTTAGAGGAGCATAAACATGAGTTCCTGCACCATGGTCATGTCTCCAAATTTCAATTCAAAACAGATTTCGAAAATATGCAAGATACTCCATGCATCAAGCAGGGCGTGATCAAATGTGACCTTCTTGCAGAAGCCTCTCGTATCCTTGAGAATGTTAATGAGAAGTTTGGATGTGGAGATCAATACATAGAGCAGACATATGGTACTAGGATTAATGCTGAGGAAGCATCTAGTCTGCTTGTGAAGTACCTGGAAGACACTGGCTCTGAAGGAATGATGACAATTAGCTGGAGCAAGGACCTTTCATGCAGGTTTGAATTACATTGTATAATGTATATCATGTTTTAGTAACGTTTAGTTTTTTAGTAAGATGCAAGTGGGACAAACACAAAGATGAAACTAGTGCAACAAAAGCTTGTTGCACTAGTTTCATCTTTGTGTTTGTCCCACTTGCATCTTTGTATTTGTTCCACTTCGTTTATAAAGAGTTAGATGGTGTTTTTAAATTCAGTGTGGTTTTGTTGAATTGTAATATTGAACCTTTTACAAATCTGCGTGATGTTTTGCAGTCTTGCAGGCACTATGAAATACATTAAGGGAGCATACCAAATATTGGTCAAAAATGTCTTAAACCCAAAATATGTCAAAAGGCCTGAAAGGAAGTGAGACAAATATGAAAGTAGTCAGTGATAATAAATGACAAGATGAATGTTCTGAAAAAAGATAAGTGATTGGATATTGAAATTTCCGTTGTTAGTATCATTTAGGTCTATATTGACTGATTGACAGGCATTGTAACTAGTAAGGATGCAGTGGCTGGAAACTTGTATGCTGTGATGACTGGCTGGGATATTTGGGAAAGTTTACTATCTTTTGTTTTTACTCCCATCTATTGAACAGTGGTCAGATGAGTTGGCGTGGCCCTTGTCTTCGGTACAACAAGCCAGAAGCCAGAAAGTACTCAATGTGGATCAAGAATTCTGAAGATAATGTGTACCTTAGGGAACATGGCATCCACTGTCTTGCCAACCATGAGATTGCTACTCACTTTGTATCCTTTTTAGTCATGTACTTGTACTGTTTACTTGAGCAGCAGTCATGGGTGAAGAATTTGGTGCTTAAGAAAGTCTGCTATAAATTTGTTTTCAGATTATTTTGAAATTGTGAAGTGTGTGCCGTGAAGTTAGAATTTGTTGCACAACAATCAATATATTTTGTGCATCTGTAAAGTCAAGTAAAACAAAATCACATTCTTGTCAAAAGTTTGCTCCAGGTTTGGATGCTTTGCCAATAAAATTATTGGGGGGGGGGGGAATTGGATAAATCATAAAAAAAATAGAAGTCACCGTCATAAAGATTCTTTTGACACGTGTTAATGGTGAACCAACAACTCCCTATTATCAAAATGTAATTGCGACTGAAACTATTGTTTGTGAATTTTGCAACTGGCTTGACAAGTGGACCATGATGATATAAATCATTTGCATGCGCTAGATTGCACCATATCAACTTAAATGGCACCATAAACAATCTGGAATCATTTCTTGGCAGCCATATTTGGAAAATAAAAAAAAATGGAAAATAACAATTAATTAGGGCCTCCCTCACCAATTTCTTTGTTTAAAAGTCTGGACTAGATACACTGTATTTTTATTTTTACTTGGCCTAATTGGAAAAACGTTTAGTTTGCAACTTTTGTGTGTGCATTTTTTTTGTTGAGTAGTACATGTAAGTCCTATTCTAAGTATGGATTTTTACTTTTTCAGAGCAGTGATATATTTTGTGTACTTTATTAAGTAAAACAACTGTGTAAAGTGGTATTCAAAACAAATTTGATGTTTAAAGATTGTTATGAATATGCAATGCAAAGCATGTTGTACTTTTGTGATCACATAAGATTGAATATTTTAGCCTTTCTCTTTAACCTTTGAGCAGTATCGTTCACTGAATGATGGTTTACAGCCATGGTTCTCCAATCGCCAGCGTTTTGGTCTCAGTGGCTTGAACAGTCAAACATTAGCAGAAACTGAAGAGGGTTTAGCATCAATAAACACCGTACTACAAGCAAAAAACAAATATCTCTTCTCCCAAGCCCTGACATATTGTAAGTATATCAGAACCATGCACTTTTTAAACAATCTTTTGAATTGAACAAAAGCATTAAGGATAAACACTGAAGATCAAAGGTAAATTAATGTCTTTGATTTTTCTATTTGAACAGATACAGCCTGCAAAGCAACAGAGATGACATTCCATGAGCTATTTGATCATCTAGGCCAATATTTGATGGATAAGGAATTAAGATGGAAGTATGTTATGCGAGTCAAGCGCTGCTTACAAGACCCGGGTGGTGTTGGGGGTAATGGCAAGGACCAGTGCTACTTCACAGGTAACATATACAGTTGAAATCTATCGAATCCAAGTACATGTACTGTACTCAACTTGGTGCTTAGGCTTAGTTCCTGCCATACAACCTTGTTTTTCAGAGCACTTCAGGAATTTGGAAAAGGACTCTCTAATAAAACAGCATTCTCTAATAAAATGTTAAATGTATAGGTTGTGTAATCACATATGAAGGTCTATTTTTCTAGACTCTTACATGAAATACAGGAACTTGAACAACATTTGCATTCTGGTATATATCTGTTACTTTTTTGTTCATGCCAACAGGAGCTGTTGATATTCTCCGCAACATTGATAACACAGACTTCCACTTGCTATACAGTGGTAAGATTAGCAGAGAGGAGATTCCTCGCATTAAGCGTATGGCTCGTCTTGATTTCATCAAACTGCCAGCATTCCTGCAGAATCAAGAGACTTACCGTAAGCAACTGAGACACATGGCTATTTTGAATGGACTCATTGAACACAGACCAATCAAGACATCAAGCAAATTAGTAAACCGAAGGAAATTTGACAGGTTGCAGCAAATAAAGATTCCTCAACCTCTTTCATCATGCTCCCAGTCAGTAAATGAATTAGACATTAATCTGAACTCTTCCAGAGAGACTCATTGTGGTTCACATTGCACTCCAGTAGAACAAATGGCAGCATGTCATGTCACCAAAAGAAATCCTAAATGTGTCAAAAAAGATGGATGTTCAGTTAAAAAGAAACAGCCTCAAACAGTGGAATCCACTAGTATGAGTGAATCGGACAGCCATTCCATTGTGAGAATGATATATGTTTCTAGGGATGAAGCATGTAATGATGATGAGAAGGTTACACCAACGCAAGCATTTTGCTCATGGTGGTCGTCTAGATCCCCATCACCAGTTGCTGGCAGTGTAGCTACTGATGATCGTGTCAAGCCTGCTGCCTCTGTCAGCCCGGTGCCTTATTCACCACATCGATGGCTCCTCAGGAAACGAAACAGATCCTCCCCCAATGTACTTATCAAGAAAAATGAAGCTACTTATGCAAGGACTCAATTTACACACAATTTGTAGAGAAATTGGAGGTACAATGTACATGTATATGATTGACAGACAATAGGACATCTTAAATGTGAATACACAATTACTTCATACTATCATACAGTAAGCTATTAGTTGTCGACATTTCTCCATTTGGATTTTGTACTTCCTAGAGAGGTGGAGACATAACTGCATATTTACATGTACAGTGATTTGATAGGCCAGGGTACAGACCTCTCCTGTTTGTCATTTTTGCTAGCCACTATTGGAAGAAATGTATGGACATGATGATATCACTATTGCCAGGTCACATTGAACCAGACACAGGACTAGCACAGATAAGAACCTTTCTCTTTCTAGAATCACTGGTTCCCAGGATGGATTGCGTGTCGGGGAGTATCTCTAAGATCATAAGTTGTGAAGGGGGGGGGCTTGAAATTATTATTTTTTATTTGCTTAATTTTGGTTGCAAGAAAGTCTCAAATTTGAAATTCTTGAGTTGTACTTATACAAGGGGGCCCTCGGGAAGCTTGAGCTGAGTTTGCCCTCCAGAGTACCCCCTCCCTCCCCCCCCTCAAAAAAAGGGGTAGGGGAAAAAAGGACACCTATGCTAATACATGTACATAAACATGTATCTGTATCTATGCTTGAATTCAATATAACTTAAAAGAACCTGCCAAACGGGGTCTAAAACAAGGCTGTGTCCCATACCGTCAAAAAGAGGTTCAGTCTAGCCGTCCCTCCCTGTTTGTCAAAAAAAGTACATGATAATTTCAGGTTGCATAGCTTGATAAAAATAATGTTGCTTCACCAATCATTTTAAAATGGAGATGTGAGAACGGTGGTTGATGGTGCTTTCCTTCAAGCGCAACCTCCATATTACTTCTTATTAATTGTTCCCCATTAAGAGCATTTTCAGAACTGAATGGCTTTTCCGTATACTTGACCATCCCAGGTGTCTGAGAGGGTGTTCTTTGTTAATTAACAATGATTGAACTAAAGGTTTACTCGAACGATACTAAACCTTGCCCCCTAATTAACTCCGTCTTAACCCGTAAGGTTTAATGCTAGAGAAGAGAGAGAAAGGGTTATACCATTTTGGCGTGTATTGTTTATTGCTATACATGTATGTGCACATTCACGTTTTTAAAGTCTACAGCTGGTGTAAATCCTTCCATTTCAACAGGAAAATTCGTAGTGATTTTCAAATTGCTGTGTTTCCAATCGTGTACAATTTTATTTTTGAGGTGTTCTAATGAGTAAATAATTTGATAAATAAAATGTTACTGTCCGTTTGGAATTTCATGTTTGAAGCGTTTAAACATGGAAATGAATAAAACTGCTGCAGACTACTGCCATAAAAAAGCACGAGGGCCTTAAAAAATGAGCCGTACATTATGAACTTAAATCGGCAACTAGTGTTTTTTTGGTCCATCTTGCCAAGTGGTCTTGCACAGGCCAACGTAGACCGTTAAACATTGTAAATGCAATTCTCCAAGTCTGTGTTATTTGTAATGGAGTTATGAATTCTGAAATGTATTTCAGGTTTACACATTGTTTGACAGAAATAACATGATTGATGTGCAGCACTAATTTGGGGTATCTGCTCAAGCTTCAAGGCACCTTTCAACATAGGGGGCGCTCTTCAAAACCGATGATAACTATGCATTATGTGCTCATTTTCAGGGCGTATTGTATGGGTTTTGCGGCATATCATTAGTGGAAAATTGTTAATTTTAAGAAATAGTAAGATAATGTACGATTTTTCTATTATCTCGATGGGGCACATTTATGGCAGCAAAAGGGGCACTTCGGAAAATCTGGGGGGGGGGGGCAAATGCCCCCAGCCCCCCCCCCCCCCCCCCCCCCGGTTCCGCTGCCCGTGTACAATGAATGTTTCCTGCCCGTGTATTTGTTTGCAGATTGATAATTCTTACAATATCCCAGTGTTTAGGTTGAAAGTGAAGAAAAACCAAATCCCTCTCATTTAGGGCTAATTATTGTAGTTTTGCCTTCGCACATACGTATTTCCAGCAATGAATAAAGCAGAATTTTGAGCCAAGCTGCCTTCATAAGACTAGACTCGCGCCATATGAAATGCATAGCACGTGACAATAATTGCGTGATATCAGGTCCCACGCTAGTTTCAGACTTTCACACAATGATGGCGACCCTAGCGCGCCGCACACATTTTAAAGCACGTTTTTTTATAGGGTTTTCCCTGCTATTTTAAAACGTTTATCATTCGAATTCACCATTTCTAATATTCAAATTCGTCCATCTACATCGAGTTAGTGCGCTTCCCATGTTTAATTTCGTCTTTTGTCAGACAATTTCAAATTCACTTCCAAGAAAAGTCGAACAATGAGCACACGTTTTCGTCCCGGAGTATTCGACTTCGTCTCGTCTACGCCAAACGTTATTCAGCAATCAAATTCGTCTGATTTATCTATATATTTATTTCTTATTTCAACTGGATGGCCCTTCAGTTGAATCCACTGGTCTCCCGTGGGTCCCAGCATACATAAAAGACAATAAACATAACAATCAACATTAAAAATACACATTCACAAAAAAATCACATTAATTTTAAAAGTCATCAAGCAAAAGAAATAAGGACCCTCCCAAAGCAATTACCCAATGCATTTATATTAATTTACATATTAAAACAAATCACAAATATGCATATGAATGTAATGAAAGATAAAGCTGACGACACATGATGTATAAAAAGACCGACATCTTATAAAACGCACTTATGTATCCACATATGAACCCTCCCAAAGCTAAGGAACCAGAAGCATCAATTTACATATTAAAACCCCACAAATATGCTTATATATATGAATGTTATGAAGGATAAAGAACTGACAACACATGATGTATAAAAAGACCGACCTTATACAACAGACGAGTTAAAAAATACAACCCCCAAAGCCCCCAAAAACATTACACTAAAAAAATTACAAAACTACAATATTATAAATTATGGGGACTTTGCATAAAAAAACCCAGAAAGTCTGAAAATATAAACTACAACTTAAAGACCTAAAAACCGACTAAGTACTGTAGTGAGTGGATTTCAGAAATAACTTTTTTCTTGTTGGGTGTAGACAGGTTTTTAAGATGAGTGGAAGCGCATTCCAGGTTTGCACCCCTCTGAATTTGAAGGTCTTCCTTCCAGATTCTGACTTAGGATGAGGAGGTACAATGTTTCCAGACGTGTTAGATCGTGTACAGTGGGAATGTTGATCAGATACTTTGATAAAATGTCCAGTAAGATAAGAAGGTGTTATAGTCCAGTTAAACATTCCGACACCATGGTATTTGTGTGAGTGTTTCTACGATAATCTAATGTTTTCCAGCCAAGCAACTCGTAGACTAGAGAGGTAGATGTTCTTTTTGGTGCGGCACAGGGACAGAATTGAGCATTTTGTGATAAAAAAAAAATGAAACTTGGCATGTGAGGTCTTCATACCATTACAAAAAAAAATCAGATATGGAGGCATTTCATATCTGACCCCTGGTGACTTTTGAGGGGTCAATGACCTTTGAATACTCTATTTATACCTATGTTCTTGAAAACATCACTTTCCTATGACTTTAGTCTATGTATAGTCTTCATACAATGTAAATAACGACTAAATGCAAACCAGAGGTCAATGACCTTTGTATTAACTGCACTAACTTTATTTATAGTTATTTATACGATATACCCTTTAAACCCCAATTTTTTTCAAGACCCAAGTCATAATGTTAAGTGGCTCATGCTATGAAAAGAATTTTATTTGTAGGGAATCTCATATCTGACCTCTGATGACCTTCAAGGGGTCAATGAACTTTGCGTATCCTATTTATAGATAATAAGAGGATTAACTATTCAAAACACCACTTTTTTATTACCCATATCTAAATTTTGGGTATTCTTGCCCTGATATGAATTTTCAGATAAGTAGACATTTCATATTTGACCTCTGATGACCTTTGCGAGGTCAGTGAACTTTGTGTACTCTGCCGTTATTTATCATGTTTATATCTTCCAAATGCCATTTGTTCATGACCGACGTCTAATCAGAGCAAAAGGAGTGTATTTTAATAATTATTCTACAACATGTCATGAAGTCAGACCCCAAAGAATTTTTTTGCATGACCTCTGATCTCACTTTTCCTATTTATAAGGGCAGACGCAAACGTGAAAGAATAATAAGCGACACATCAGACAAGCATCACTCTCTTACAGAGACCATTGGTCTTGGTAAAATGGTTAAAAACGTGGCTATCCAAGTCCAACTGGATACAGCAGGGTGTAATAAATACTCAAGAGTGAATATTGCTTGACATATGTACATTGTCCATTACAAAACAGACCCACAGATTTCTATTCCAATCTCATCATATTGCGTCTGCCAATAAAACAAGGAGAAACGAGGTCAGAGGTCACCTCAAAATTGTAAGGTCTAAATTCATAACATGACTGTAAACTAATAGGTGCAATACCGTTCTTTGGCACTATTGACGCTTGGGTCACCAAAAAAAAATCTTTTTGGCATGAAGAACCAACATGCAAAGTTTAATGCTTTTATCACAATTTGCACAATACTTTAGCATATTGGAGCTATGCCGCACCACTATTTGTGGTACTTTAAGTATATAGTACCCTTATCCTGCCCTATTCAAGAGGATTAAGAAATCTGCCAAATTCCCTCCAATTACTCGAAATACACTATAACCACTTAAAATCACATGCAGATGTTGCAGTTTTGCCTTATTTAAGGTTCAAATTACATTATAAACAATCTATAGTCACATAAAAATGTTATGAAATTGCGTAAATTTCAGGCAAAACGCAGTTGCGTCACGACGAAGTCGGGTTCCCAGCCAGCACGTAGACTAGCCAACCTGTCCATTATGCAAGAGTTTGTTTGAAAAGATGAAAGCTTTTTCATACAGAAGACGGATAGTGCCACTCAATGAGTGTGAATATATTTTTTAGGTGCGTGTGAAAATATTTTTTTGTACAGCGGCCGCCACTTATTATGTGGCGGCCGCCAGATAATAAGTGGCGGCCGCCACATAAGTCGTCATAATAAGTGGCGGCCGCTGTACAAAAAAATATACATTGTATTCACACTTTTTTTCGTGGCGGCCGCCACTTATTATCTGGCTGCCGCCACATAAAAAAGTGTGAAAATATTTTTTTTGTACTTGTGAAAATATTTTTTTGTACAGCGGCCGCCACTTATTATAGGTTTTCTCGGTCAATTTCGGCAAATGAGCAGCCAATTTAACCACTACGCTATTCTATTTCGCGCGAAATCAAATGCTACTGAAAAGGGTCATGCGATTTCGTTTTATGACCAGTCAAATGTACTGTTGCGTCATTCGATTTAACAAAATAATTATGCAATTTAACAATTCAACAAAGCAGCATTCAAATTCGCAGGAGCTTTTTGAGGCGTGTGTTTAGTCATTCAAATTCATTTTTGGGCAGTCATTTCTGGAATTTGTGCAATCTAAAAAACGCTTTGTTAAATTTTTGTTTCCTTAAGAATTTTGAAGGCATAAATACGGTTCACTTTTTGGCACTTGAGTCACTTTGCCGATGTACTTCGAAGACGAGCTTTCGCTACAGTTTTACACGCATATTTCTAGAAATGGCAGCTCGTGGTCGCTACGCTAGAGTGGCCCAGGTAGATCGAGAAAGGTTGATTGAGGCCTTCGAGGGAAACGAGCAAGACTACCTTCAGCTTGCGGTCAATTTGAACATCAACAAGTCCACAGCCAGATCAATTGTTGCAACATATTTGAGGACTGGAAGGCGAGAGACGCTGGCAAGAGGAGGAGCAACCCACAGCAAGATGGATGATGACATGCGAAACCATCTGCAAGGCATCCTTGACGCTAATCCCGTCTTGACACTTCAACAAATGAAGGCTAGTTTGAGTGAGCATCTGCCAGAGAAGCCCCAGGTTTCTACTGCCACCATAGCCAGGGCCTTGGATGGGATGATGATTACACTGAAACTAGTGGAGGACGTCCCCGATGCAAGAAATTACCCTGAAGTTCTTGATCAACGCGTCCAGTATGGTGAGTGGTTCCTGCAGCATGGTGTTCTGGCGCATCTAGTCTTCATTGACGAGACAGGTTATAACGTCTGGACTCGACGCTCCCAGGGTAGAGCTCCACGAGGGATCGCTGCACGACGAGTCGTCGACAGACAACGAGGGAGAAATTGCAATGTCACCTTCGCTGTTTCTAGTGAAGTAGGCTTGGTGCACCACCGAATCGCATTCGAAACTGTGACGCGAGAGAGATTCGAGGAGTTTCTTGCGGACACAATTCAAGAGTGTGATGCAGTTTTCCCAGACGACGAACCCATTTACCTCATATACGACAATGCGAGGCCTCACGTGCGAGCCTAACTCCCTGAAGGTGCCAACCCAATGATCCAGCTGAAGCGCCTCCCTCCCTACTCCCCATTCCTGAACAGCACGGAGATGGCACACTCTGCATTCAAGGCTGCAGTTAAACGCATCCTTGGGTTACCTGAGTGGCAACAACGTGTCGGAGACAGACAGGCTGCCCAGCAAGCA